TAAAATTTTAATCGTTAAATATTTTTGAATTTATTCTGAACAGAAAAATATTTATATTCCTGGCACAATCCATGAAAGAGAAATATTGTTAAGTAACTTGCGCGATTATTTAACTTAGTTACCTATTTTTTGTACTCTACCCTCCCTGGAATATATATCGTTTACTTCCTTATTCAAAATAGCTCCCACATGTGAAATTCCCTGCCGTTGCATGAGGTCAAAATAAATGTCGAAAGCTGAGACGTGGGGTCACGTGCGTGAAAAGTTGTGACTGCCAGAGAGAATGTGTGCTTGGGAGTTCTTCGCCAGTCTCCAATGGCATCTCGTCCTCCGTTGTACTCATGAATCCCCACCGCTGATCCAGCAACATATTCAAATGCATATTGATTCTGCGGTCCATCAGCTGTCACTGCTTCGGTTCCCCCCTTTGTTTACAAGTGGCAATCATGATACGCATCAGCAAACGAGGCTCCAGTCCCAAGTTCCAGGTCCACCTGATGGCATCGGCCAAAAACCAAGATATATCCTCGCAAGGAGAGCCAAGCTAAACATACACCCTGGTAGAGTAGACAAAAGCCAAAGAAAATTTGCATACTCCCCAGGTTCGCCTGTTTGTTTCTCTGCTGCCGTTTCATCTCTCGTTTTGCACTCTCCAGAACCTACTTTTCCCTCAGCCATTTCCCAGATTGCTGGCCATTTTGAACCTAAATGGTAAATAGACCTTTCGGTTTGTTAATGACAGTCAATACAAAGGAAGAGGGAAACGGAAAGCAAAGGCCACAGGAAATCAAAGCCGAAACCCGGTATACTAAAAAGTCCTGGGGAATTTTAAGGGCTTGGTGCTTGAGTTCCTAGTGAGTGTATTAAATTGGTTTCAGATTTACAAGCCAGCCAGGCCAATGGCTTAATTATTCGAAAAAGGAAAAACGTACAAAAGCAATTATCCTAATTATGAGCAAATGTTTATTCCACATAAGCGTTGAATGGACCATTGGCTTCTTACAGCCCACATATCCATGGAAAAATATTTAAATTGCACAGTAGCCCTTCCTTTTTGCTAATTGCTAGCCTAAGAGTATTCCGCACAAAACCAATGTTGTGGCTGTTTTGCATGTTTGCTGGAGATTGAAAAAAAAAATTGGAAAAACCTAAAATTTGCATGCAGAAACTCGGAGAATCCGAATTGGAAATCTGCATCGTGCGTTGCAATAAATCAAAAATCTGCAGCCAAGGCATGAGCTACCCAAACCGCTCCGCTTTCCTCCTTTCGGAGGATAACAAGAGAAACGCATTGGCCATGCAAACACTGCTGATTGTGTAAACAACAGTGAGAACCCCACTGAGAGAAAGCGGGGAATTAAGTGCTACTTTGCCCTTAACAATGAGAATGAATTTCAATGCCATCTTCCTTATTGTTGTCAGCCTCGGCAATAATTGTTCAGGCCCTCAGCGTGTGGGTTTTGTATTCTTGAACTGAAGTCCCCTTGCATTTATCGCCGTTTTCCATTGTTGTTTAAGCTTCAAGAGTTTTTCTTATTTTTGAGTGGAGTCCGCGAAGTCGAAATACAATTTTCGATTTAATGCCTTGCAATTAAGAGGGTCTTGGCTTAAGAATACTCTTTCAAACATTATATAGTGAATATCTAGGCATTTATTACAAAAACACTTACTCTGGGCTGCCTTCTAAATGCCTTTAGTATTTGTATATTAAATATTATTATTAACCATTTAAAATTAAGAGGGTATTAGTCGTTTCTCCGAAACCATGGAAACCCTTATCGCCCTCACCAGTGACACTCTCCATGATGTCCCCCCAGTGCTTGCTCCCAATTCCCATTTGCAGTTGCCATTGCATTTGGCATACGTGTAAATCGTAAATTTCCGTCCACAAAACGAATGGTAACCGGAGAGCGGTAAAAGGTCCGGAGTCTGATCCCAGATCCAGTCCCTAGCCCGGAGTCCAGAGCTCAGGGCCCAGAGCATCGGGCCAATAGCTCATTGTGGACAACAGCGAGTGCGGCAATGGAAACAGAAAACAAAAGTCGCTTCCTGGGTAATGGAATAAATTTCCGTAAGGACCATCTTTTTGGAAGCAGACACATATCACCCATATTGTCCAGCATTTTGTGGCTATTTATGGTACCCGACTCTATGGACGGCAATTGAAAATAAAGGTGGGAAGATGAATTTTTGTCTGGCGGGAAGATTTATTTTCTGTCTGTAATAAAATTGCAATTTTAAAATTCAAAAAATCTTAATTTTCGCCAATAAAGGGTTCCTAAAAGTAGCAAAAATAACCAAATGAAGAATTTATTGTTGAAAAAATCAATTCCATATCAGTGGCTGCAATTCCGCTTGGTGATTTGCCGCAAATTGTTATTCTAAAATCCAATTTCATCGCATCAGTGCACAAGCAATCCCCAGCTCATCGCTGCTTGAATTTTTGTATATTTTGCATATTTGTCACATTGAATCTGTTGACCAGCTGTGTGGGTGTGTGTGCCGGGACACCTGGCTCTTTTCCATACCTGTGCTCACTTTTCATTTTTTCTTATACACACCCCATACCTCTGACTCGATCGAGAAAAGAAGGAAATGCGAGACACGGAATCTTTTATGACATTGCTATCGGTGATGCGGACGTTGAAGTGGAAACAGTTCCTCTCATTGTCAACTCTGTATAATTTTCACACTGATGGCGCGGATGGGGATGCGGATGCGGATGCGAATGCTAAGGATGCTGTTGTAGCCTCTGGCGGTTACCCACCCCGTCATGGCTGATTTGATTGCACTGCGCTTGGGTTGTTCGTCGCTTGCTTTTTTGTTTTGCAGCCAACCCCTGCCGGCACCTTCTCAGCATTTTGATTATGCTGCAGCATTTTTTGCATCATAATACTCATAAATATTTATGAAGCAAGTTGTCTAAACATGAAATGGACATAAAATACTGCCACAACAATCTTTCGGTTCTCATGCATTTAAAGCAAAGCCAATACAATATACGATACAGCTAGTTACTTTGGACGATGGATGTGCGGTTTAAATCGGAAATGAAAACCTGGAATCGCTTTTGCCACATCGAGAAATTGATTGCCGGCAAAGTGAGTTTAAACGAACTATTTTAATATTCCAAAAGTCGATTTAAATTGAAAAATATTGGTCAGCATGCCATTCGAAGCTAAAATCAACAAAAAATAGCAGAGAATATTTGGCACTTTGGGTCAGTAACATATATGAATGCGAGTAGAAGCTCTAAGAAATATTCGATTTTTCACTGATAAAATGTGTTTTGATTTGCAGACATTTAGTTGGCAGTTAGTTTTCTCTGGTGGCCAAAGTTTGGTGAACCAAAATGGAAATTTGATTAGTTTGGAATAAGTTAAATTTTTTTTCTTCTTTCGGTTCGCCACAAAACTTTTCTAAAAGTTTGATTAAAAAAATGTTCAATATTTTCAATATGGTACAGTTTTAATGACAGCTTAATCAAAATGTTTGTAAAAGTACGTGTTATTTGCATAAATATTAGACAATATCTTGTATGGCAATGTTCTACTCTGGCCAACACGTCGTATACGTGATATGAAATATTGTAGCATACTTTCGGAGCCAAAATAAATAGTCTAAGGCTTAAAATGCTCGCTTATGCCTTGGAATTTAAGTAAACTTATACTCGTTGAGTTCATAGTTTGCTGCTTTGTTGAACTTGTTGCAGAATTTCGGGATTGTCGAAAACTTTTCCTCGCCTTTCTCAAGTTCCTTGCACTTAAAGAACAAATACAACAAATGAGTCATTTTCCACGCACTTTCTCTGTAGCTGTAGTGGCTTAGTGGCAAGAGTTTGAAAACCCCGTCTGAAAATTCTAACAATATCCGGGTGGTGGTGGATCATGCAATCAAGCCGCATTCCAGTTTTGGCTTCCTGCTCTCTAAAAGGACTGTATATTTATCATAAATTTGACTGCACAATTCTATTACTTTGATGCGGATTTTCTCATATATCTTTTGCTATCTCGGCTCGAATCATAAATTATTTCATATTTCATTTCCTTTTCACAATGCAACAACAGAAAAAGTATTCGACAAAAACAACTGCACCCCACCGACTGTGGCAACAGGCAAATATATGCTGAATCACAGTTTTCTTCTCAAAGGCACTGTCTCTGCCCCACGGCATTGCAATAAAATATCTGATTCTGCCGACTGGTGTCTCCCCTTTTGGCCGGTTCTTGTCCAAGCATTGGCCAAAGTAAACATAATAATCATTCCAAGTGAAACTTCAACTCCGCTCTTCAAGATACTTTAACATTTCTAAAAAAAAAAGTGATAAAAACGTGATGGGGCGAATTAGGAAAGTTAAAGCAAAGTAAGAGCCAAAGAATATTGCTTTTTCGAAGGGAGGGAACTAACTTTCCTTTAAAAGTAATAGGAAAACGTGAGCTGAGACGTTGTTCGGTAGTATCCATTTTTTTTAATAAGCTAGTAAAAAACGTGGAATAGGGGTTTTTTGTTTTAACATTATTCCCTATCACGTTTAGAATTATTTTTCTATTGCCCTTGCACTTGCAGAATATTTTTAGCAAAGTACTAACGAATATCAATTAATAAACAAAACTATAAAAACAATTAATTAGCTGTGAACTTCAAGATTAAAAATATAGATAAGATACTATACATACTAGCTTACCAATTAAGATAAAATTACATTTGACGTCAACATTCCCACCTGTAAGCAGTAAAATACAAAAACAACTAATCTAATCCAAACTTTACAAACACGAAGTTCTTTTGTAACTTATTATTAACTAAAATAAATAAAATAAGCTTACGGGTAACTTAATTATTAAAATTATTTGTTATTACACACGATTAGCACGAGATTTATTATAAATCTCACTAACTACAACTTATTAAAAAACTTAAAAATTCACCATGAAATAAGTGTGAACGCTTTCATTTTGGTTAATATATATTTTATGACACTATAGGTGTGTTTACAAGGTCACTTGATTCATAAGGTCACTTGAAGTTTTCTCTTTAATTTTGTACACAATAATTTACTCTTCTATTTTTACTCCAGTTTTGCAGTAATGCCAATAGTCTTTATAGCAAACTCCTCCTTTTCCTCGTGCCTTTTTGTAAGCTGCCTGCACATTCGGAGAAACATACTTGGGCCGCCCGTTTGGAGTGTAAAACCAGATCTCGTAGGTGGGATTATAGCCCAGGACTTTAACTTCGTTTTCCCTTCACGACATACAAAAATTAGTAGAAGAACCAATCTGATTAGCAATTGATTACCCTTGCAAGCTGGGCGAAACCAGAAGGACAAGTGAAATTATTATTATAGCCAGCGAGTTCATGTCTTTGGTGTCCGACTGACTGATTGCGAATGTGAGTTTTTTGTGTTTTCACCAGCTATTATTTACGAGGCACTCGAGGCCTCGTCGAATGCGATAAGGAAGTGTGAAGTCTGAGCCACAACAAAAAGCCAGAAAGTAGCATGCAATGCCACTCCAAAATGGAAAAAAGCTGCCCTGCGGGTACTGGCAAAGAAACCTGAATAGAAGGTCAGAGTTGAAGGATCTGGCTAAGCCCGAGTTTTGGAACAACCAAACGGAGCATTTAAGTATTATTTGAGTTTAAAATTTAAGTTTTTAATATTTGTATAGATTTTTCATTACTTTGAGTATTTGATAGGTGTCCAAAAAGATTGTGTGGAAAGACGGCAACCTGTTGTCTTTTCCCCAAGCATGGGAAAAATAATAATTTCAATTGAGACTTCAATTGCACTCTTCAAGATACTTTGGCATTTATAAAAAAAATGTGATGTAAACGTGATGGGGCGAATTAGAAAAGTTAACTCAAAGTAAGAGCCATAGAAAATTGAGGGATATACCTTTACTTTAAAAGTAGTTTGGTAAACGTGAGCTTGTATATTTTTTGGTAATATCCATCCTGATAATAAGTTTATAAAAAAAACGTGGAATAGGCAGTAATTTTTTACAAATTATTTTCTGTCACGTACAGTATTGTATTTAAAACGCACTACTCGACGCTTAAATAACGAATTTCAATTGTATACAAAAAACTACAGAAACAAATACAGCTTTCTAAAAACAAACAAATCTAAATTCCCACACAATAATGAAAGTAATACCTAATCTAATCTTATTAGCTTCCTCTTTTTTTAAAAATATGATGTTTGTTGTATAAACCTTTTCACATATTTATTAATTTATTTTTTAACACCTTAATTTAGTCGCTTATTTTTACTCCAGTTTTGCAGTAATACCAATAAGTTTTATGGCAAACTCCTCCTTTGTCATTTCTCTTATGAAGATTAAAATAAGCCTTCTCTACTTTTGGAGGGATCCACATCGATTTGCCAGATGGCCAGAAGAACCATATAAAGTAGGTAGGATTATAGGACAGGCGTTTTTCTACTGGTTCGGCTGAGCTTTAAATAAAGTACATATATCAATTAGTAAGGAAACTAATCTGATTAGCAATTGATTACCTTGGCGCGATGGTCGAACCCAGAAGGATAAAGGAAATTATTATTTTAGCCAGCGGGTTCATTCCTCAAAGGTGTGCGACTGACTAATTCCGAATGAGAGCTGTTTCTGTTTTCTTTAGCTATTATTTAATAGCCTCGTCGAATGCGATAAGGAAGTGTGAAGACTGAGTGGCAGCCACAACAAAAAGCCAGAAAGTTGCATGCAATGCTACTCCAAAATTAAAATAGAGTTTTCCTGCGGGTAGTGGCCAAGACACCTGAACAAAAGGTGGCTAGTCCAGAATATTTGACAGCCAAATGGAGCAAGTTTTAAAAATTTAAGTAGAAGGGCTTTTAGAGTATTGTATAGTCGTCCCAAAAGTCACAAAACTTTAATTCCGCATTCTGCCAACGACACGTATGAGTAATATCCAGTCACCTATTTTTTGTTTTCTTTTCTCTCTGTTGTAGAAAGTTTCGAGTTTTGTTGTCTTTTGTATCTGCACCCTTTTTACTATCCGAGAAGGCAAAATTTATTACATAAACACTACGAATAAACACATTATAAGCGTGGAGAAGCTTTCCAAAAGGGTGAAGTCTTGGCTTTTTCTTTTTGTCCAGAATCGAGTAAATAAATAAACAGGGCTAAAATGGAGGCAGGTCGAATAATGGCCAGGAAAAGACAAGGTCTTTGTCTGTGTTTGGTATATGAATGGCAAACAATCGAGTAAAAAACAAACAAGACAGCAAACGAACAATAACATGAAATGCAATCGCAGACAATTGCAGGCACGTTTTGAATTTGTGTTTTTCACACGCTTTCAAGGTGGGTAAATATAGGATTTTTTTATTCAGGTAAGGCTATCCAGCAGTCACGCCCAATTATTAAATTGCCTTTGAAACAAAAAGTAAAGCGGACTTTAATTTTTGGGAAATATTTTTAAAGATATCCTGTTCGCACAGTGCATCCCTTTGTAGTTGTTTTGGGCTCCTCTTTGTTGCTTTTGGTTTAGTGTTAAAGATACTGGCTCACTTTCTAGGACAATGGGTTGTCATTTGTTATGATTTGGTGCGCCCTTGCATGCAATAGCATAATAAGCCAAGCGAGCACTGCAGTCCCCATCCTAAACTAAACCACCGCCGCCCATGCTTTATATCCATCTCGTACGGCAGTCAACACTCATACGCCTCGTTGCACGAGTTGCTGCACGAATCGCTTCATTGTTGTGGCATATTGTTTCACATTTTGAGTCGGTCCGACCACAGGCAACAGGCAAATGCAACTATAGCAACAATAACAGGGAACAAAGCGTATGAGGCGAGTGCACATATGCAAAAGCGAGGAAACGTGCCTGGCATTTGTCCGGAGTCCGCAGTCCACAGTCTGGAGTCCGGAGTCCAGAATCCACAATCCAGAGGATCGACCACTGACACGACTCTGGCGTGGTGAAGTTCTGAGATGCCAGCTCGCCAGCCTGGCCGACACATGCCACCCATGCTGCTCAACTGCCGAAAATAGTTGCATATAAAGTGCTTTCAATTTAATTAAATTATAATTGGACAATGTGTGCAGCTGATAGCCAGACAATGTGCAGTTTAGTTTTCAGTTTCAATTACAAACAAAATCTCTATTTAGTTACAGGCTACATAGTAGTGGGCAGTTATGGCAGTCAGCTTTGAATTTTGAGTGTGTTTTGGGGGCGTATTTCGGACCCAACCACTCATCCGGCATATGGGTAAACGTTGAGTGTTTTGTTCGCCCCAAAACAACACAAAATATAATAGCCAAAAAAATTCCCATGGGGCACAAAACGCTTAGCAGATTAGCCAGGGTATTCTTTCCTTTCTTCCTTATTTTTTTTTTTTTTTTATTAAAGTGCGAACATTTACCAAGAGAACGACCAAACAGGTCAGGACAATGGCCGAAAGCCAAATCAAATCAGCTGCGAGCAGAAAACAAAGCAGTCCCGAAACATGGCTAAAATAAAAGCGAACAAACAAAAATGGCCGAGAGGAAAAAATGTGGATGGAATGAGAGTAAAGAAAAAGGCCAAATCCGTTGTTTTTCCTTTTCATTTTCTTCCGTTTTTTTTGTGACATTTCAATCAGCATTTTTCAAGCTTCGTTCGCTCACATAAACACAAACACATAAAAGAAAGCGTTAAGAAAATCGCATTATAGAAAAACATTTGACCATTTTTCATGTCCTGCCAAAACAAATGTCATCCGAAAATTGAATTGTGGAAAAAAGATGACAGAGGCAAAACGGCTGGCCGACCAGTAACTGTTCAAACGTAAAATATACGTATTAAATTGCGCCTACCCGGCGTATGAGTAATGTCTGAAAATTACGATTTTGAAATTCAGTATGTCCGCAGCAGAATGCCACAAAAACAGTGGAAAAAGCGAAATAATATTATTAGTTAATTAAAACAGAAAAACATCATTTGACTACGGGATGTGGTCACGTATACATTGAAGTTTATTTTTTGTTTGGCTTTTATTATAAAAGTGTTATTTAAAGCCGATGTTTTTCCCCATATTTTAGCCAGCTTGAATATTTAAGGTCTTTGAGCAGAGCTTACCTTATCTGCTATCCTCAGACTTTGTTAGCGGTTGCAGCCTTCGAATTACCTCCGATTCCGGGACTTCCGCTTAAAGCCTTATGTAAATCCTGGCCCGGACTCGGCGGAAATTTATGAAAAATAGCCAACGTCCGCGGAAATGCTTAGTTGGAGCCGGAGAACCAGAGCGGGGAAAAAAGTGCTCTCCATTTAAATTCACGCGCCAACTTGAGTACAATAAAAGCAAATATGAAACAGTTGCCCCAGCAGCGAGTAAAATGTAAAGTCCAAAAGTCCACTTAACAAGAAAATTGTTTCCATGAGGCTTTTTTTGTGCTCTCAGCATTAAAACCATTTTCCTGGCTCTCGCTTATTATTAGCTTTGAAAGTGTGTGGGCGAAGGTAGCACCATACAAAATACTTTGCACATTTTTATGACCGTGACAGTGCGGCCAAGGCAAGGCACCCACGGTAGCGGGCTTCCTTCTCCAGGACCTGCGTTCGGTCCTTTTCCTTGCTTTTCCCATTTCCCGTTTCCAGCCTGCCATCGCGCCGTCCCGCCAGCATGCCATCCTACTATCCTGCCAGTCGCCCCCATTATGTCACACCCCTGGCCCTTATAGAGAAAAACCAAACCATTTTCCCTAGGGTTTATGAGCGTGAAAAAATGTTTACTGGTTAGAGCTTGAGAACGCGAAAACATGTTTTTTGTTTCGCTATAATTTTCTTTTTTGTTTTTTTTTTGCGAAATAAAGTCACTGTTTTACGTTGCAGAAAAAAAAGTAATTAAAATGGGTATTTTTGCAGGCCACGAAGCGAGCGTGTCACCTGGAGATAGAGTCTTTTAATGGTGGGAAGCCAAAAATGTCTGCAAGGAATCCGCTTAAACCTAAAATAAGGAAGAGTTTTTGTTTAAGAAAAAGCTCCTTGAAAACTTTTAATATGAATATTAAAAGCCCAGAAAAACATGAAAATATGAGCATTGATTTCGTTTTTATCATTCATTTCAAGCCATTTCACTTCATTTACTTTCCCTGGGACCCACAAAATGCTAGAAATGTCCAAGACTGATTTCGTTTGCGGGTTGAATTTCAGCTCCTAATTCTGTTTCGGTTTCGGATTGAGGACTAGTTTGTTGGGATTCGTCCTGCGTGGGATTTGGGTCTTTCCTTTCGCATTAGGCATCATCAAGGTCCCCGCATTCGGTGGCCCATCCACCACATCCTCATCAGTTGCGCTTCATTGTGTTTTATTCGTTGCCGCTGTTATCGCATGTTAACACTTCATGGAAAATCCTAGTCAGGCTGTCTGTCCGTCCGCTGTCCGATGTCCTTTCTCATCAT